GAGGCATAGGATATAAATGAACACTTAGAAACCTCAATTCATTTTTTGAAGTTAATACAGAAACATAAATTGCTTTGTAATTTTGTATCCCCAGGTTGTAGGTACAGGAAATGGTCTAGACAGTATGTTGTGGACATCCTTTCAGGGAATCCCTGTAGTCATAATGTCTAAGATTCAGACTGTAGCTTTACTGGAAAAGGTGAAATACTTAGATCTTTAATTTGCACTTTGGTATTAAGGCCAGCATCGCCTGCATTCTGACACTGAGCACCTGAGAGAATCTGAATTCTACTGATTGTTTTACATAAGTGCCTCTAGCTAACTAAATACATGTAACATCATGCTGATGATAACCAAACCTGTTTCCTGCATTCATCAATGCATCAAAGACCAGTCTGGAGTTTTTGTGTCACAGTTGTAATCCCTGTGTGGAAGACAAAGTAATCGGTAAACTGTAGTTTGTTTAAGCAGCTTGTAAATTACACTATCATTATATATACACCCACGGTATTACATCCATTTTCTTAATCCAGTATGTGTTGTGGGTAATGCTGGAATCTAACTTTGGCACGAAACACCCTAGATGAGACGTAACTCTATCATAGGGCACACACAGACACACAGTCACACTCACACCACAGCCAGTTTTCCCAGGAGCCATTTAACCCACCAGCATGTCTTCGGACTGTGGCAGGAACCTGGCGTTCCTGGAGGACACCCAGGGGAACATGGGAGAGAACATACAAACCCAGGCAGCTCCTCAGAAATCGAACCCAGAGCCTCGGTGATACACTTCATTAAACAGGACTGTCTCTTTTCCAAACCTTTATGCAATGTACAGGCAAGTTGCGTCACCAGCAGCCATATCACCTTGCAACTCACAACTGGCAACCCACTGAAGCTAAGCAGGTGTGAGCCTGGTCAGTACCTGGATGGATAGAAAAACTAAGGTTGCTGCTGGAAGAGGTGTTAGTGGGGCCAGCAGGGGGCGCTCACCCTGCGGTCCATGTGGGTCCTAATGCCCCAGTATAGTGACGGGGACACTATACTGTAAACAGGCGCCGTCCTTCGGATGAGACGTAAAACCGAGGTCCTGACTCTCTGTGGTCATTAAAAATCCCAGGGCGCTTCTCGAAAAGAGTAGGGGTGTAACCCCGGTGTCCTGGCCAAATTTCCCCCCTGGCCTTTACCCCATCATGGCCTCCTAATAATCCCCCTCTATGAATTGGCTACATTACTCTGCTCTCCTCCCCACTGATAGCTGATGTGTGGTGAGCGTTCTGGCGCACTATGGCTGCCGTCGCATCATCCAGGTGAATGCTGCACATTGGTGGTGGTGGAGGGGAGTCCCCATTACCTGTAAAGCGCTTTGAGTGGAGTGTCCAGAAGAGCGCTATATAAGTGTAAGCAATTATTATTATTATTAATAGTGTTTTGTACTCAGTGTACAGTAGCAGATGACACACCCTGCTCTCAACTGACAGCATGACCAAGAAATGATGTCAATCAAACTATCTCTATCACCTACAAAACAGCCTTTTGTTCAGGAGTCAAAGAGAAGTACCCTTAGGTGTTTTTTTAAGCCTGTGGAAATGTCTAGTTATTTTGAAAGAATACAATAAAGGCTATACAAAGAAGGGAACATCCAGTCAATCAAACTGGTTTAAGAGATCGTAGTGATTTTCTTATAATCCAACCACTTCTTACAAAAAGCCAGGGTACCAGCTTTGAAAGCACAGATGGGTAGTTTGTGTTTGTGTAAAAATAGTGCTTAATGTTTTAAATGTACTTCTCCAGAGTCTCTGGAATAAAGAGTGTTTATAGAAATAGTATATGGTTTATGCACACTTAAAATGTCGCAAATAATTATCTAAAAGACTTTTACTAAAGGATCATATACAGTATATGTGTCTACATATTCCTATAGATTTTTGAAAGTTCAGCAAAGGCTAAAAGTGAATACTGAATAACACAAACTCCCCTTTTAATTGTATTGCCACTTTTCCATACAGAAATTCCTGGCATTGCTTGTATATAACTCCATTTACTCATATTTTCTGAAATAATCTGTTTTTATATATTGCAGTTTTGATGTTCATGTTTAGCAATGCACCTACAGTGCATTCTGACTGTTTTATTGCATTGCTCAACAAAGTGTTCTCTCTTCTCTTTTCAGCATGGAATAAACCTATTACTTGTTCCTTATACTATACATACAACCTGTTTTAAACAGGCCACAGAAAACATGTCAAAGTCCAGATAAATTTCCACCTCATCAGTGAAACAGAAAGACCTTTCATTTAGTCAATGTACATTATAGAAACAAACAGTATTTGTGGTGCTTTACAGATATCTAGCAGGTTTTTTTCCAGTTTAACTAAGAAATGCAACTGAATTCTCTATTTTTGTTTATATTTATATATATAATATATATTTTAAATAATAGTGCAATGTGAGCTCATCTCAGAACTAGATTTCAAAGTCAGAAGATTCTGAGTAAATCTACAGTACATTACTGCATTGGTAAAAAGATTGTATTTTCTTGGAAAAGACATCAGTAAATGCTGAATGCTGTAAAGAGTTTTTTTTTAAAGAAATGTCCTTGTCTATTAATCAGTTTCTACTGAAGAAACAAGTGACTGATAAACTGAGACTTCATAAAGTGAGAGAAATCTAGTAACAGTTGTGCTCATATATTGGTGTTCCTAGAATTGAACTACCCACACCGGGTTTTCCAACAAAACCTTGAAATTCAAGTCTTTTCATTTTAAAGCCACACAAATATTTCATGGAGATTTTGTTTTTAAAAACTAATGATAACAAATTGCACAATTCTGCTGTTAAATGTGCAGGGAAAATGATTTTGAAACGTTTTGTAGTCTCCTGGTCAAATCCCTCAAACCTCAAGAAACGAAGTCAGAAAAAAGCATGATCTTGAACAGCCGGGATGAAAAAAGCATGCTTGTCACCATTTCTCCCTTACCTCAGTTAAGACCTTGAATTACATCATTAGGACACTTAATATGATCAGGAAAGGGTAGGGAGATTCTTCAATCACTTCATTTACCTGTTTTTTTTTCTGCTAAGTGGTGGCTTTACTGGAAGCACCTACAGTATACCAGGGGTGGTGCAGTGGCTCTGTGGCTCAGGATCTGCACCTGTGGCTGGAAGGTTGCTGGTTCGTACCCCGCAGCTGGCAGAGGAATCCTACTGTTGGGCCCCTGAGCAAAGCCCTTAACACCAACTGGTCCAGGGGTGCTGTATAAATGGCTGACCCTGTGCTCTGACCCCAAGCTCCTCTCTCCCTGCCTGTGTGTCTTGTGGAGAGCAAGCTGGGGAATGCGAAAAGACAAATTCCAAATGCAAGAAATTGTATATGGCTAATAAAGTGATCTTATTTTATCTTATCTGTGAGATAATGGAGACATTCTTGATAGTTCCTAACATTGATGGCTTCCCTCCTGAGTTTTATCTGACTTTTTGACCTCAGTTAACTCCCCTTCTACCTGAAATGCTGCTGCCATGCAGAAAGACATCAATACTGCCATGTATGCCATGTATATGTTTATAATGGTGTATATTACCATTATAAACAGTACAAAGATCCCCTTTGTGCATCACATCATCCTATCTCCTTGATTTGCTCAGAGTTCATTTGCTATCATAATGGCTGGAGGACTATATGATCATTTGCACTCCACCAGCAGACAGGCTTTGCACTTGGTAGTGTGCAATGGTTGCCTCTTTCAGTATTATACATGTGGTTACATTGTCCCTCTTTGCTATGCAGTACTTCTGTTAGACACAGAGAGGGCTTTTGACTGGCTTCAGTGGAGATGTCTCTAGCTGCTGGGAGTTGTTTTATTAACATAGCTAAAAATTTCTAACCGTATGAATGAACGGCCCGCACTAACCTCCTTACTTAAACTGTGGTGATCTAAAGGCCTAGTGTTCTTTTACTCTCATGACGAAAGACTGAATCCTTTCCTTTCTCCAGATCTTAAATCCCCTCTTTTTCAGGACTGTCTCCACTGAAAATTCTCTCTTCGCAGAGCACAGGCTCTCCCCCTCTGGCAAACTCTTTTCCCGTGACCCCCTCGCGCTCCACAGAGCTATCCTATGTTATGCCACCTGTCCGTATGAGATTCCTGCAATGTATGGAGTGTCCTCCCTGACTTACTGTATGATGCTTGCATTCTCACAAGACTCCTAAACACTACAACAGCACCTATAGACTACAGAGAACTTAATCTAATAGTGTAGATACACATTAGTAGTTGCAAAGTCCCTTTTATGCGTTGACTCTAGGTATTTGAGCAAAACCTCTGTCCTGTTCATCATTGCAACTACTAATTTCACATTCTCAGAATCCCAACACTGCTCAAGGGCATTCTGGTTGAAATATAGTTCCCACCACAGTGGTCAATATCACTGCCTTGCAGCGCTGGGGCCCGTGTTCAGTTCCTGGGGTGCTATCTGCATGAAGCTTGCATGTTCTCCCAGGTTTCCTCCCACAGTCCAAACAGTGTTCGATAAATCGGCCTCTGGGAGAATTAGCCCCGACGCGAGTATGGGTTTTTATGAATGTGTGCCTCGCATTACGAGACCTCCAGTGTATTAAGTTACACATTACAGCCAAAACCCACTGCTCTCTTCAAGGAATACCTCCTAGCAGCTGACTAGACATGGCACAGTGTGAATGTGTTTAAAAGACAGACTAAAGTAGATGTAGCACTTTCAAATACCAGAACTTTCCAAAGCCGGATTAAATTGTTCAACCGGGGAGCTGCTGTCTACCAGTCAGTCTGACTTGTCTTTTCTTGTACAAAGTCTGTAGCCCAGCTTGTCCCTGAATTAAGCTCTTTTGTATACTGTATTTTAGTGATTAGAAGCTTTTCATTGTCCATTGGAAATGTGATTTCAGGCCCTAAAGGAAATGTTCCTTGTATAGTGAGATGGACAGAGAGGTAAGAGGGAAAAAACAAAGACTGAATACAAAACATATTCTGAAGGTTTTTATTGCAGAAAAGAAGTACACAAAGCAATTTTACAGTACCTAAACTCCATTAAGATACAACGTGGGACATTTGCTAAGTTTCTCACCCTAGCCTGACATTAACCATCTTTAACATTACAAATATCTGGCCCTTTTTCAACTTCATTTTTTTTTATACTTAGCGTTCCAATTCATTGAGGTTCATTCATGTCATTTTGGAAAAAAAAATTAGTTTTTTTTGGTTTACAAAAATACATTAAAAAAAGATTTCCCTTCTAGGAATATCAAAGTTAAATTCAACAAAAAGCAACAGTTATTTGCTTATAAACTGTTTTAATGACTGACAAGTGCTCTTAACACTATCTGCAACAATAATAACTGAGTTTCTCAGTATACTATGTTGTTTAAATACTATGTTATATACAGAACTTTAAAAATGATCAGTTTTTTTAATCACATATCCATTCTGTATGTTACTTTTAAATATAACAAAAATAAGAACAAAAACAAAGGTAGATTTTAATGTTTTATCACAAAAGGAACCCCAACTATTTTTTCCCCACAACATTTCCCACACCAAAGTGATAAACATCAAGGTCCAAAATCCAACATTTTTTTTTGCAGTCAACCGAGAGTCCATTCATCAGGTCACCCCTGCTTCACAGTAAAAACACAGACTCATTTCCAAATCGCTTGAGAAAAAAAAACCTGCCCCACTTGCTTCACAGCTATAAGTAATATAATAACCATTTAAAATTGAAAATCCAAACTTTTCCATTGGTAATGCAGACAGCAGACCACAGCCATATCCAAATACCAGAGAGCAAACACCAAAAGTTTTTGAGAATGTACCAACTGTTGGCTGACCAACTTGAATGAAATCAGCTCCAGCAGAGAGTTAACTGCTAAAGCACTCGGTAAGCCCTGTATTTCACGGATGAAATACGGTTAGAAACCGTCAACACAAGGTTGTAGCACACAACAGGCAACATGAAGCAGATTATTTCTTCATTTGTATTTTCTGTTTTAGGAAAACAGCCCTTATCCTCCTAATGGCAGTCCTGTTTTCATATGTACTGTAGATGCAAGAAAGTTACTAGTAAACTGAAAGTGTCTTAATCAGTCCTGCTGCTATAGGTGGTCACTTGCAACAGAGACCTCCGCAAAGTTTAGTGTGCAGACATCAACCTTTCCACAGAGCTATAGTTCACAATAATTCTGCAGTGTTTCCTTGTGGGTCATTCTAATAAATATACATATATAGGGACACACATCAGAAGAATTCAAGGAACCTATTGTTCCTCAAATGGAATACAGTGACCTTGGTGGAAGGTCAAACCAAAATACATATTCCCCCTCCTCTAGGACAGAATAATATTGATCTTCTAGGTCAGCAGAACCCCCATATCAACCATTTGAACTGTGATCCAATAATTCCCAAATTAAACAAGCCAACACTTTCTTCATGAGACTGGGTGTCACACCCAGCTGGGGCTCAGGACTTCATTTTGCAGACGCTCAAAAGCAGTTCTCCAAGGAATCCCACCCCGGCACCCCTCAGTTTCACTTTGGTCCGCTGCTCCTCGCAGAATCCCCCCAAAGCAGGGCTGCCCCCCTCTGAGAACTTCACCTGCCAGTCTGTAGAGCCCACCCCAACCCCTCAATGAAGCACCACCCCTCTGATCAGCTGCCCTCCTCCCTCTGCTCTTCACACGCCCAGATTCCTCTTCTGTTCGAAGTAGGCATCAAACCTCGCCAGAGCATAATCCTGTAAAACACAGACAACATGGTACCCCAGTCCATACAGTCCCTTACCCGATGGACAGATTAAGCAGTCCTGAGACAGTTGGAGGACCAGTTATATCAAGAGATCACCCTACGTTTCAATTTGACACGATTAATCCTAATATTTTCCAATATGCATATGAAAGCTTTGCCTAACTAGGCTTTCTACAGAATTCTGAAAAATAAAATCACACAAGGGGTGCTCTTGGCTGCCTCTGATCGACTACAACTCAGGTGCACTGAATAAGAGAGAAGTCAACTAATGCAGCTGACCAAACGCATTGAATTAACAGGCTACCAGTCTGTAAATCAAATTATTTCACAGGATTTGAATGTCAGCAGAGCTGCCCCTTAATATATTATTTAATGAAACTGGATTTTAAATACAAGGCAGGAGTTCTGTATTAAGCATTAGTTTTCCTAAATTGATAAGTGCATTTTGACAATAATAGCAGTCTAGTTGAGTAGAATGCTCTTATTGCAATTCTGCATGTGTCTAGCACCATGAGGCATGGCTTTGAATACTGAAGTACTGCCAATAACTCGGGTATGAAATTACTTAAACTGTGAATGCAGCAGTTCTGCACTGGTACAACCAACTTTGTTTAATCAAGGATGAACAATTCCTTTTCTTAAACTGGCATTTATCTATAACATTACAATACTACAATGCAATGCTGCAATGCTTACAGTACTAACAGCCACCTGTTAGTTTAATGACAATTGATCTAGAGGTCTCATAAAAAGGAGAGAGAGTTTTCATACTGAAACTCCATTAAAAAGGCCGGATAGGTGTACTCACCATGTATCCAAACTCGATGGTGGAGATTCTGGCTTGAATTATGGACCACAGACCCCAGAAAAAGTGAGAAGCCAAAGCAAACCTACAGAACATTGAATGATTTAGTTTCAACAAAACAGTAATGGAACTAACAGTGTAGAGGATGATTTCCCAGAAAAATATGACAAGAGCTGCTTAGGGAAGCTTATGAACTATTTGCTGTATAACACAGCACTATTGTATATTCACCAGGAGGGGTTATTGCAGAAGTGGGAGCCCATTCACACTGTCTTGTACACATCACGTATGTATGAACATCATGGCCAGTTGCTCCTAATGACAGTTTAACAGTATCTTGCATATCGGGATGGAGCCTTGCCTACAGCAGGAATAGAGCGCATTAAAATCTTAATGGATCAACTGCAGGGCTAATGCTTCCTGCAGAACAGGCCTGAATTCTACCCTTTAAATTCACAGACTACAACCAGTGTAATACAGGGACAGGCGAGCCGTAATTCAGGTCACAGATGGACCCATCCAGCCTGACACATGGGATTATCACATTACCATGCTGATCAGATATCAACAGTCTGTAAGAAGATAACTGTGACTGTGTAGCCTGCATCCATAAAGGAATTAACTATTACAGCAATCCAGCTCAAAATCAGAATTTCTGTAAGTACAGTACGTATACCCTTCACTGCAATCTTTTACAGCTGTATCGTCAGACAGTGCACAGTAAGATCACCTGTCCTATATGACAACCAAAGAAAAAACAAAAAATAAGATGAGCACTACACTTCCTCCACTTAGTGCAGCTTAAGAATAAATGTTGTACAGCATAAAATATATAACTTATTTTAAGTCTATAAATCATCCTTCTGCACAAAGAATCCTCACCTGTTGACTTCCTCCAGCATTTCTTCTTTAAGTTTCATCTGGCTTTCTGGACTTAAATTTTCAATTCCACTGTCAGATTCTGCCAGGTAGCTATTGATGAAATGTAGCTGTAAAATAACACAAGTATGTAAAGTTTCCATTACATTTTCCAATCACTCTTGGTTTGTCTCATTTATCCTAGGCAAATAGTAGATCAGATTTCTGGTTAATTAACTAGTTGACAGAATACCAATATCTATGATGGTAACATCTCAAAAACATTACCAGAAGTCTAAGAAAACATCCCTGTTCTGTAAAACGTCAATAAATATTTGTATGCAGTAATGTATGAAAAATGATCACCACTTTTGGTGTCGTTAATGTCTTACAGCGTAAACTGTAATCATTTTACTGAAACCTTCTCTATGTTCCCTTCACTGTACATCAACAAAAATAAATTACAAAACTCTCTGCCGTCCATGGACGGTCTTTGTGCAAAAGCTGGACATTTCCGGCAGTCCTTGAAACACGAACCGTCCTTAGGGATGTCAGAATGTACACACACCTGCTGCATTCTGGTTGGGTAATTCCTAAAGTTAGCTTTGAAGAATGGAAACTTGTCATAGGTGTAGTCATACATCCATTCACAGAAGTGGTTTCCAATATCAAATCCTCTGGGGAACAAAACAGCAAAAATGAAATAAAAATAATGACAGCCAAATCCATTTAAACTAGCCTAATTTTGTAGACTTTCACAACCCTTAATTACCCTTTCCCTTAACAACAACCTTATAAGCAACTTCATCGTTAGTAAAAAAAATTCAGCAGGAACACAGCTGAGAACACAACAGGGAACAAACTTAATTCTTCCCCATTTCTTCGGTGTTTACCCAATTTAAATTTTGAAACCGCAAAGAAGGATTTAAAGACTCTTTATACAGTATACATGTGTAGTCTCTATCATTGGTCAGTGAAAGCAACACTACACTCATTGTTTTCCAGTCTGCATGTTCCAGAGTTTTATCTAAGCCAAGAACTCCCATGATGCCCTGTGTCCGTAGTGCCAACAGCTCCAAATGAAGATTAGAAGCTTAAAGCGTGCACTTAACAAAGATGACCTACAATGCCACATGAAGTGCAATTCCTTTTGTGTGTTTAGGCAGGGAATTAGCATCTTTATAGAAATCCGAGTTGCTCTCCTTTTTCCATGTCCGTTTTCAAGATCTTAAGTTTCATGAAGGCACGGAGCTACCAACATTTTTAAAATGTAGTACAAAAGGTCAATTCAATAGCTCTGGATTTCAGATGGCAACAGCAGATGGGAAAACCTTACATGACTGCGTCCATGTGAATCCCTGTAGTTACAGTGCACCTGTCCTATACCATCTCACACACAAATGTGTCTGGTGCAATCCACACTCCTGGTCATTTCAGAGCTGGATTTCTTCATGCAAAACGGCATCTGCTTCTCTAACGTGAACTAGCAAATCTAGAGGCTTACAATAAAATGTTTTTGATTTGATTGAAAAAGGGGCATCTGAAATATTTATCCCTCCACATCTACAAATGTGGAGGGATAAATACGGGAGGACTGAATTTCCCTCCCATATTTATATTTTAATACGGGAGGACTGAATTTCCC